AAATAAAAAAAAAAAAATTGGTGGGGGGGGGGGGGGGGGGGGGGGGGGGGGGGCTGGGCTAGGCTGTAGCCCCCCAGGGTCCAAGAGGTTTTTTTTTAAGGCACCTTTTTTTTTTGGGTAAAAATTCAGTTTTTTATGTGTAAATTTTTTTTTTCCGCATAGTAGTTCGATTTGAAATTTTATAGTCCGGTCGTGGATCCAATCCTGAATTCGTCCCTGTTTGTCCTAGATCGGCTTTGGCGCTTTATTTGGGTTGAAGGATCGTAACTTTATCAATGGCATATGTGATTTATCTTGACAGTGGTGATTATTTGTTTGGGGAATAATGACATTGATACACCTAAAAGTGTATGGACTGGACCAAGACAAGTGTTGATAAATTCATGGTGGACCATCCTAAGGAATTAATCATACGTGATTGTCTTATGAATTACTGAAGTCCATTAGGAATATTTGTTAAAGCTTGTGAAGTTGAAGTTATTTAACATGTCAATATGTCAGTCATTCATTACGGTCATCACATCAGTATGTCAATAGGAATCGAAGTAGCGAACATGTATTAGCATTCCAAATCCATCACTTTATTCGATAGGTAAATGAGTTGAGTATTTTCTTAAGGTAACAATTTAAATCTATACTCAATATTTATGGATACTTGACATCGAACTCATGAGTTTTCGGTGGTTGTTAACTCGCTATCGAGTTCATGAGCTCTTCGGGTTGTTAACATGAGCTCCCTAGGTTCTTAACTTGACATCCAGTTCATGAGGTCTTTGAGATTTTAACTTGACACTAGTTTTTAAGTTCCTTGGGGTTATTAACTTGACACCGACTTCGTGAGCTCCTCGGCTTATTAACTTGATGTTGAGTTATTTTATCACATCAAGTTATTCAACTTGAAATCAAATTTGAGTACGTCGACCTTTAAACACATCACGTTTGCTAACGTCAAGACAAATATTTGGCATAAAGTAGCAAAGATTGACAATACAACATGATCGAACAAAATACCTCATTCGTAAACTTAAAATTTTTTACATAGCCTTTTTCATTACAAAAATGGGTCCAGGGTACAACCTAAACTAGGGGGCTTGGGTACCCGTTGGAACCACTGGGGCCATCTTTGACATCATCTTCATTGATGTATGCCCCATGTCACCCATTCGGACCTTAGGTCATTAAACACCCAATCATTACCTGTCCTCATTCACCTCGACCTCAAGCAATCTACACTCAACCCGAGCAATATGCATCTCATTTCCTAACCTCGAACATTCTAAGCGACGTCATCGAATCTTACACATGGATCCACGGAGGCAAATGATGTGTACAATTTATGTATGATCCAACCACCCACAATCCTAGCTCGAGATCATGATAACCTCGAGCGCACTCTAAATGTCACATCAAGTGAAAATAATTTTTTGGACGATTATAGCCCTACTAGAATTCAGTTATTTCAATAATACCTTATTTTCCATTTTTCAATAAGTATTTAATTTGTAAACTGTAAAAAAAACTATAAAATCCTTGTTCATGTATGTATTCCCTATTACTAATTCTCGGTTAATTAACATTTACATTCATTTAATTAATATTAATTAAAATTTCACGTTCACATTCATGTTCATGTCCTTATTATTAATTCTCAATTAATTAACATCACATTCATTTAATTATAATTTTACATTCAAGAATGTCGATCATTGTTCATGTCCATTTTGTTAATTAGCATCCAGTTTCACTTAATTGGAAACTAAATTATATTCATTTAATATAAATGATATAACATTCATTGTCACGTACATATTCCTTGTTATTAATTCTAAATTAATTAACATTTGCATTAATTCATGTATTGTATTTGTCATTCATCTTCATTTATGCATTTAGTTGTAATTCTAATACTCACATTCAAGTATGTATTTTTTCTATTGACGTGCATGTATAATAGTTAACATTTATATTCAGAGACTTGTATTTCTCTCATATTTAGATCAAAAGGATAAATAGATGGTCAAATATTACTTTCATAGCACTTATAAAGTATTTTAGAATAACGTGCAATTCACGTTTAACTGTGACCAGTCTCTATAATTACCAAGAACCAGTTATTATTCATGTATGCATTGATTTAGTTCATAGACTTATGCCTATATTTTCTCTTTTCACTAACTCAAGTATCGAAAAAACGACGAGAACATACCTCGACGCATTTTTTAAGGTCTTGGAAATCCTACTCATGCTTATTCTTGGTTGTCAAGCTCGGGTACAAATACAAATCTAAGAAGCCCTCATTTTAAGTTTTAGAGATCCTACTTGTGCTCATTTCCAATCGTCCAGTTCAGTATTCACGGATTATAGGTAGTATCAACCCCCATTTTCTAAAATTTATTTTTTTCACACTATTTATGGGATCTTTAATTTTTATTTACTTTTCAACTTTATATTTCTAACTTTCATAAAAATTTACAAAAAAATATATATATATTATTTTTGGCTAAACCAAACACAGCTTGTTATCTAGTTTTTTTTCTATACTTTGTTCAAGAATATTTGCAATCTTTAATATCTCAATTCCCATATCTCATTCACTCCCGTGTTTCTGCCTATTTGGAGTTAAGCTTCTAGACTGACTGATCAAGTAATGACAACACATGCTTCTTATCAACCCACAATATTTTGGGTTCTCCCTTTTCTAACAACATTACAAGATTACTTCTCCTATGTATTAATTGAATTGAAACATTAAAAGATAGAGTAATGTTATTTATCGTATTGGTTTTAATCATTAGTTTATGTGACAATTACATGATATTAAATGATAGTTTCATTTAAATATAAAGCCACATAACTTAATTGAACATGTAAAATTTAGCTACCTAAACTGGTGATCTAGCATCAATGGTATTAGATTGTATCATTCTAAAAGACGGGTTGAACTGGTTTTGCTTTTCCGAGGCAATAGGTCAACATTTTAGTTACAAATATTGCTAATCTTTATTGTTTATGCAAATACTTAATTAAGAAGAATGATTGCATATCTAATTAAAAACTCAATCATTCCACGATAATTGGCAACTATTTCGTACCGTGGACTTTTCAAAGTAAACCACAAGTTGGTGCCAGATAAGACGGTTGACATCCCCCTCCCAACCCCCACGCCAAAAAAAAGGAAAAGAAAAGTAAAGATAAGATAACTAGGTAATGCAAACCACACGGAAACATATGAAACTTATGAAAAGTTGACCAAAATATAGAAAAATATTTTTCAGAACAACACATATTTTTGGGCTTTGGTGCAGACTTCGACTAAAAATCAACTTAAAAATGTAAGATCGTTTATATTATAACAAATGACTAGAGTACGAATTAAAGTTTAAATGCTTTTTTAAAAACTAAATAATGTTTAGTAAAATAAATTATAGTATTCTATGGAACATTTTTAGTGTTACTTATCCTACTTGTTTTTTCAAAATAGTATTTTCAGATGTCGTATGGTGTTGCAATTTCCTTTTTCTGTTCTATGCAATCCAGACGAAAAGTTTTACAGATGATTATAGAGGCACTGAAAACTATGATATAACCATTACATATAGACAAAAATGATAATTTAGAATGGTAAGAGCAGTATAAATACTAACTAGGAATTTGGAAAGAAGCAAAGATGTTTAACATGTACAATATGAAATTAGACTCTGACTGGCTGGTTCCCTACTGTTGATCTGATAAAACCGTAACGTAAATTTCCAAGATATTCTATTTATCATCTGCCAGAAATTTCAAATGAACTAGTAGACATTTCCCCTGCAGAAGATGAGGGAATTGATGATGTTGTGACAATACTGTCATCAGCTAACCCTAAAGCCATGAATCTTGATCTGATTAGATCAGCTCTCTTGGATCCAGCTGAGTTTAATTTATCAAAAACTGGCAGAATTTCATCCCTGTTAAGATATCTTATCACTTCCTTCATTGTAGGCCTTGATTCCGGCTTTCGATGAGAGCACAAAAGACCAAGTCCCATCACTAGTTCCATCTCTTCGATTGCATAAGTCGAATTCAGTTTAGAATCGACTGCATTGAGAATGTTGCCCGTCTGGATACAATCCAAAATCCGATCCACTAATATCGCATTCCGGTCTGGTTCATATGTGACTGGTGCTCTTCCACAGGCGATTTCAAGAAGTAGAATGCCGTATGCAAAGACATCAGTGCCTTTTGAGGCCTTCCCGGTTCGTGTCAATTCAGGTGCAATGTATCCGATAGTACCTACGACATTTGTGGTGTGTGAATTTTGACCATGGTCGTATAATCTTGCTAGTCCAAAGTCTCCTAATCGAGCATTCATGTCACGATCTATCAGAACATTGCTCGACTTTACATCACGATGTATTACGACCTTCTCCCACTCTTCATGTAAATATAGCAGCCCGGATGCAACGCCTTTGATGATATTGAATCTTTGCTCCCAACTCAAAACAGTGCCCATGGAACTATAGAGTAAAGAATGAAGACTTCCATTGGGAACATATTCATATACTAAAAGAAGATTTCTTTTATACTTACACCAACCTTGAAGATTGACCAAGTTTTTGTGTCTTAACCTTCCCAAGCTTTCGATTTCAGCTGCGAATTCTCTCGTTCCTTTCAATGTATCGTTCGATGTTATCTTTTTCACAGCAACCTCGGCTCCGGTAGCCTGTAAAACACCCTTGTAAACAGTTCCAAATCCTCCAACTCCAATGATCTCACTCTCCTTGAATCGCTTAGTGGCAACATAAAGATCCTTGTACCGGAACCGGCGAGGGCAATCCAATTCCCAGTCCTCCAAAACCTCAAACTTCATCACCTTCCGATATGTCAAAATACTTATCAATGCCAGCGCTAATAAAAATAACACAACTGAAAAAGTTGTAATAAGTGCTCTTTTCAGTTTATTTTGGGAGGAAGATGATTTTTCAGCTGGTATATCAGGAAGCTGAGAAACATCAAGTGGAACAGCAGTCCCGTTTAGCTTGAAACTCCATCCGAGGATGTAATGAGAACTTGCCTTATCCCCTGTCGATGCTGAAAATCCAGCATACATAAAATCCTTCATCTCCCGTGACAAGTCAATCGTGTGAGATAAAAGAGGCTTAATTGGCTTGTCAATTGTTGAAGGTGCAACAGTCACATTCACTGCCAATCCATCATAATCTATCCAAGCCTGGATTGGATTTTCGTCCTCCAAATCAATATCTTCCGTTTGCTGAGTCAACCCTTTGTAATACAATGCGGAGCCCGAGGCTTTGGAATCCAATCCATTGATGTTAATTCCGATATGGTTCCCGTACCTGTCTGATTTCTGGTTGTGTCCACTAACCGTGTCGAATTCGACCATGAAAAGATGGTTTGAAGAGTTTCCATCATTTGATGGGTTGACGACTCCTAGGAATTGTCCCCCGTCCCCAGAAAGTTGCGTCGACGGGGATAATATGAAGGCGAAGCCATAGCCCCCTCTGTTGGTATCAGAAGGGACAATTTGGAATACAAAATGAGTGCTAAATGAAGTAGCATTAGGGCTACTGTTTCCGGACATGGGAATTTGACTACGATCAAATGCACGGCCTATGACGTTCTTGGATCTATCAGTAAGTTTTAATGCTTTATCCTTGATTCTAGCATATCCATCTAGGACAAGATTTGATCCATTGAATCCATTGTATACAAAATCAAAGGTCTCAGATTTCAAGAAAAGGCTGCAGAAAAAGAGAAGAATAACTAAGGAACACAAGGGTTTAGCCATGGAGGAAATGAAAAATGCAAAAATATAAATTCAACTCAAATTGAACAAATGAGCTTATATAAACCATAGAAAGATAGGATAGAGACACACAAAGAATAAATCAACACAATGGGGTATTTGACCACAGACTGGCACCACGCTTGAGTTCCGTGGGGACACTTTCTATAGTATCCACTCAATCGCTCACTAATATCTAATCATAACTTAGCCTCTTTTGACAATCATTATTTTAGAACTCTACTTAATAAAGTTCAATTATACATTCACACAATAAAATATTTTGTACGTAAATCAATAACTTTCCCTACTTTTAACTAGTTACTCTTCAAAAATTCACTATTCAAAATATTGTTTTTGACAAATAATGGTTGTCAAATAAGGGCTTATAGATGCATGTATCTCTTTTAAAAGAATTAGACTATCTCTATCCTCATAGTATATTCCAATCTATTCTCTCGATAGAATTTGATTATCCTATTAACATAAGCTTCAAAAAATATCGAGTTATATATCGTACTTGATAAGTCTCTAATTTCTAATCTTGACCCAATTGCTAGATAGATTAGGGCAATTGCTTATCGGGAATAGACTTTCAAGAAATAGTAGTCGTCTTGCATCTAATCTCTTCTTGAGAATTGGATTGTCTTTATCTTAATTTTAGGATTCCTACATATTTTCTAGCAAGATTATAATTCTTGCATTCACATGGTCTCCTCCATTATACAACTTTCCAGCGTAACCTAGCGAGAACGTAAAAGATCCGGCAAGAAACTTGGAGGGACATAGAAAATTGCTAGTACCGAATTTAGGGACAGTCGTCACAGTCGTTAGAGGACGTTTCCCTGTTATGATTAATAATAATTGCTATTTGCCGTGTGATTGGAGGAGGTCTCAGTTTGAAGTGTTCATTTGTTCATGGTTCAAGAGTGACCAAATTTAAATTTATTATTATTATTATTATTATTATTATTATTGCTTGTTTTACTTAATCAATTTCGGTATATGAACAAACCACGGCCTTATTTTTTATTAATTAGAATCGAGTAATATAAAACTTTTCCACTCTAGAGAAATTCTTTATTTAACTATGTTATCTTGATTCTATATTATATAACAATGTTTGAAATATATAAATGGCATCTTCTTTCTTTTTGATTACCTTCCTCGCGTATGGATAAGATTGAATCCATTCGATTTCTAAAAAAAATTACTGAAGTGCTGACCATCTATTAGAGAAAAAAGAACAAATAGATCTCGTAGGATTCCCAAGAAATTAATTAGATAGTTCTATTTCTCAATCTTTCCGACTTGCTCCTATGGAACCAAAGTCGAAAAGATTGAAAATTTTGATAATAGATTTCTGAAGTAAAATTAATTTAATTATATAAGATATATTAAATGTGCGTTAGTCTAAGCTCAATTACGATTGACTTTAATAATATTAGAAAATAATAAGTCATCTAGAAAATAATACGTCATCTAATGTATTTTGTACCTTCATTAAACAAGTAAAATTCTATTTACAACGAGTGTCCAAACCTACTGATTGAGACACTTTTTATGCTTTATACAAGTTTAATACACATGGTATGGGGCCAATATAACAAATAGAATTATAGTTGGCTTAAGTTTTATTATTATAAAATGTAAATTTGAAATCACGTTTGACAGAATATTCAACTTAAAAGTGAATTTCACGTACATTTTTGACATATTCAATAGTGTTTTAATCACATTTGGTAAAATGGCTAAGCAACTTCAAAATTTGAATGTTTATTAGTCCCAGTTTGATGTAGATTAAAATCAGATTTCTTAGTAGATTTTGATGGAAGTGGATAAAATGTATGATTGAATTGTTGACTTTGACATGGATTAAATTTTGATTTTAATTTTCACCTGTTATACTAAAAATAAAACTTGAAATCATGTCATAATTGAATTAAAAACTCCAATAATTTTTACTTAAATCCTTTTGTTGGACTTGCTAGTTTAAGGAACATTCTATATCATTAATATTTTCCGATGCCATGTCAAACATTGACTTTTATTTCTTGAAATGGCTAAGGAACTAATCAACAAAATACATCGTTTTTCTTCTTTCCCACCCCACCAATTTTTTGTGGTATAAGATCAATGACTAGTAGACTTCATCAATTAATTTTTATGATTTTTTTTATTTTTTATTTTTTAATTCGATGAAGAAAGTAAGGGACCGTAGACGGTGAAGTCGTGGTCCAATTTATGAACAAGTTGTACCATTTGAAAAGGGCCAAAAGGCTGATAGAGATTTAACGCGTAGAGGAAAGACTCAGGTTATTTCATTTAAGTTGATTATATTTGGCACTCTTCCATCTCATTTATATAAGTTGATTTTGTATTTCACACGAACTAAGATATTTTATCTAATCATATTAAAAAAGCAATTTTTGTCAAAAAAAATTTCTAGTTTACACTTATTTAATAATCAAAAAAATAGTAATAAATTACTATTTGAAGTAGTACAGAAATTGAATGATGTAATTTTCAAATTAAATAAAGTTACATTAGTAAAGGAACAAAACAAAACATTCTCAATAAAAAAACATGACTACATATCTGGGACAAAAAAAAATTATAAGAAAAGTCAACTCATATAAATGGGGCGGAGAGAATTTTATTAATTATTATTAAGCTTAAAATAAATTAAGTTGCATTAGGTCATTTGAATTCGGTCCCGCACGCACGTAATCAAGGGTTAGGCTAACAGTCGTGATCAACATTATTCCATTTTATTGCTTGAACTTTTAATAAAATATGGATATTTGTCCAATTCTTTATATTCATAATTGAATCAACGATTCTTGAAATGTTAATTAGCTGTCACATTATCTCGTTGCATCAATAGTCCTCTAGAAAGGCATCAACGAATAATAGGTATGTAATATTAAGATAAAATAATAAACATTAAATAAGGATTTAAATTACTCCTTGCACCATATTTTACTAACCAAAACTCCTAATGGGAGCCAAGACTAATACGGCGCGGGTCACCTCTCTGTCAAGGTTCCCCACATTAGAAGATTTTGTATACCAAGAGCACTTCTCTTACATGATTTTTAAACAAGTACATCATCTCGACTTCTGTACTGGTGGCACAAAAATGAAATCGTGAAACAAAATACGATATGTAAAAATTTTATTTATGATAAACGATACAAAGTATTGTGGAATTGTTTTATTAAATTCAATAATTAATTTTTAAAATGCTATTTAATATTAATTCCAACTCTAATTACTTGTTAATTTCGTTGAAGTATAAGAATAAACGGTGAAATTACTTCATTTGCAGTTGACGCTTGTAAATAAGTTAATGCTTAGTTGAAGACCCCAAAAAGTCGATATCAGTAATGTGAAATTATTGATTAATGTTTTCAAATATTTGAGTCAAAAGATTCCCTCGATTTCTGAATTTTATTAAAATAAAAGAATAGGAAATGTTTTTGGAGTTTCTGAAATGTCTACTAGAGTTATCAAAACTTGTTCAAAATGAAAACACGAGCATCTTTCGAGGTTTCTTGCTTCCTAGCCCATATATGTACAAGAAAAATTGGAATTTTGTAAGGTAATTAACATTTTATTAATAGTTTCCTCACTCATCTAAATAGCTTATTCCGAAGAAGTTTGCACATTTAAAATAAAATATGCTCCTTAAAAATTTAAAAGAAATTTACCTCAAAATGTTTGATTATCTGAGTGAAAATTATTAAACCAATTATTTGTTAATAATCGATAATATAAGAAATAGGAATGCACATCGTGTCATGGTCAAAGATAAATTAAGGAAATAGTATGGAAAAGTTAAAAATAACCATTACTAAATATATTATTCTTTTTATTGGGTGTAGGTTTAAATTCAAAAAGAAATTAATTTTCTTTGACATTAAAAACCAAAAAAATATTGGATCTTTAGCGGCCCTTAGAAGGACCTTGGTACCCTGCTAGGGCCCATGTGGCCTTAGCAGCGCGGCTCTGCCAAACAAAATTACTTGGAATTTGAGTAACAATCTAGCAAAATCTACTTTGACATAAATTCCATAACAAGGAACTAAGTTTTCACTCTTCAAGTTATTCTCCAACTCTTTCATCATACCCCTTCAGGGCACACTATGCTTTTGTCGGGCATACTCAACAACTGAGAACTAAATTCAAGTTTTGCTTACCAACAAACTACTTTACGCACCAACCTTGCTTGAATCATTCCATTCACTTCCAACTCGTGTCGAGTCATCAAAATTGCTCTAATCACCAATAGCAACACAATTAACAAGATCACAACTAGCTCCACCAAAACTGCTGGAAGATTCCCCAATATCATTGCTCGAATCACTATGAGCAACCTGATCATAACCAATTCTACTTGAGTTATTGCTCATCAAACCCTAAGTTGAATCTGCTTCCACAACGATTGTCGAAAGCTTCCAAAACATGTAATCGGGACTTTCTTCGCCACCTTAACACAGCCCTGTACCCTTGCTAACTTTCAGAACTCTACCTCCATCGATATACAAATACACTTTTGGATCAAGAGTACTCAATGAGATAATATTTCATTTTAACCTTGTAACATGTCTTACAAAACCAAGTGTTCTGACCATTTCATCAACCATCTTGATTCTAACCTTACCAGCATCAGCTATTTTATGAGGCTCATTATTTTTATCACCTTGGAGCCCTTGTAACTATTTCACATGAATAAAATCAACCCGATTAGAACACATGTGAAAAGTATTAGCCGTATCAAGAATCTATTCTTTATCAAATTTGGAGTCACTATCAGTAATTGCGAAAAGATCTCCATCACTGTAGTATTCTTCTCCAAGATAAGCAATACCGAAAATTTTTAGTTGCTCCTTCTTATCTGTAGTAGATAAATTATTCTTGTTCTGCCACTCATAGCAATCATTCTTCATGTGTCCTTTGTTGTTGCAATGTCAACAGACTTTATCGCTATTAATATCCTTTACTCTACCCCATCCATGACCACCCATCGTCCTCTCATGTATAATA